ATAGAATGGCTTGGCTTGGAAGGGACCTCAAGGATCATCAAATTCCAGCCTCCCCATCACAGCCAGGGTTGCCAACTGCTAGATCAAGTACTAGATCAGATTACCTAGGGCCCCATCCAACCTGGCCTTAAGCACTTCCAGGACGGGGCATCCACAACCTCTCTGGGCATATACTAAAAAGAGATACTGCTCTCCAGTCATACTATGGATTATTTCACTGTAAAGAAACTTGCCTTTGTGTCTGACAATCACTCTTGGAAGCAAAAGTTGACAGACATAAAGGAGAGGGCTGTGTGTTTCCCCATCGATATGCCATAGAACAGAAATCAGAAGCCATGGGGTGATTAACTGATTTGGTCCTTCTTATATTTTTCTTTTTTTGAACAGTGTGCAAGTTCTTACTCTTGTATTGCAGATTCTTATTCAGTGGGAAGTAGATGGTGTTATTTATTTTGTTTGGTCCTCAGGTTGATCATTGTTGTTAGACAGATATAGAATACATTTTAATATTTTTTTTATATTCTAAAATGATTTGTTTGCTGCCTTGGAAAATGCACTTACTGAAAAATAAGAGTGACAGAACATTTCTATTTTGTCAAGCAATATTTTACTAATCTAACTGTTTGGTTCCACATCTCAGCAAAGCCAGTGGTAAGTAATGCAAATTTGCAAACTGGAAATGGAATTTATTTTTGAATAGTCTGGACTGATAGTCCAGTCCTTCAGCCTCAACTTTTTGTTCCTTGTACTTTTGTTCCTTTTTCTTGGTATTGGTATACATGGGACAAAGGAACTGATATGGTAGCCATGTGACCAATTGCATCTTTTCCTTCCTTTTCTTCCTTACAAATACTTGCCTCAGTTTTTCCTTTTTTTTTTTGACTGATTTGCCTCTGTTGGGTTCTTCTTCTTCCAAGGTTCTTCGTCTTGCCCTGTCCTCTTTCTGGTCCTTCATCTCTGCCTCTCTGAAACAGTTCATGAGATGAGGAGTCTGAATCTCCACATGAGGAGATTATATCCTTTCTGCTACCAGCTAAATGGAGCCAAAGAGAAAAAAACTTCATTTTCTGACTTAAATGCCCTCTAATTATCTAAACCTAATGGGATGTACACTTATTAAAACTTTTCCCTTTGTTTCATTTCTCAGATGATGTTCAGTGCACGTTGAAGGTTTCCAGCAACTGATTCATTACCCCATCATACCTAAACTGAGTAGCATTCTGCATTGCTGTGTCAGTCCAGGGACCCTCGTTGTAAAATTTAGGTCTTACCAATTCCTTCAAAGCACCAGAAGCCACAGATATCTGTCTTCTACTGGTGACACAAAGACACATAACCATGGTTAGAAAATATTTCAAGGATGCATTAGTGTTTCAGCATGTGATATTTGTGTATAGGTAATATTCTAAGTGGCATCTTCATGGTTCCCCTACAATTAAAATAGTCAGTGGAAAGATGTCTCCTCTTTTTTTGTTCAGCAGCACATTTGATAACTCAGCCATTTAAAACAGCATTGAAAACATTTTCTTTCTTTAAACCTAGATTTGAATATATCTATTTTCTATGAACCGAGTTCAGTACAAACATGATAAAATTCTCACTAAAGGAAAGAAGCACCTGGTGTATAATGAACTTGCTTAGGTGGATGGGAAGCACTGCAGAAAGTTGACTCAGCAAGAAATCTTTCTGTAGATTTTCAAGGAAAGCTTTTTTGCACTTGCATCTTTACAAACATCTCTGGATATACTACAACAGCCCTATATGTAGACACACTTATCCTGGAATTGGTTGCTTTTTTATTCACTGAGGCAGGAGAAATGATATTTTTCCCCAGAACACAGGAATGACATGAACAGCAATACCTGCTAAAATTCATGCCTACTCTAATGCTATATATTGTAGGCACACTGTAACATTTTTTTTCAAATGGAGAAATATTAGATTTATTTCCACATGCGACTCTCTTGTATCACTTGGTGTTGATGATCAAGGAAAGCCCTGACTACCTATGACTGTGTTGCACATTCTGCAGGAATACATCTACTAGCCCCGATAACATGGCCATGTGATTTGCATAATAACTTTCTGCCTATCTAAATTCACATTTCTGTTACAATTGTGCATGAGATTCCTAGTGTTTTTTCTCTGTTGTTAAACAGATGCTGCATTTCAGACTTGGTAAAATAGTTCTCTCTTTATGTATTTTTTTCCTTTACAGAACTGCTTTGGGATCTCTTTAACTGAAAGATAGCATTTAAATGCAAATCACCCTTGGCCACAAAGCTCAGAATTACTTTTACATTTTATTCCTGATCTGCTTCTGTATATAGAGCGTTCCTGAAAGACAGTGAAATTAGATTTACTCATATGGGCTGACCTGCTCCGGGGAAAACAAACACATGTTAGCCTTGTGCTACATGAATGTCATGATCTAATGAATGATCCTGCTGAAAAGTATCTCCTTTAATTAATTACTGATGAGACAATTTCATTTCATTTATAGCTTTAGAAAACAAACAAAATAAAACATCCAAAAGCCTACATATATGTATGTCACACCTTCTCAAGTTTCTTTTTTTCCCTAGAGTTATTAACATAGATATATACATTTGCACCAATAATTGCTCTTTGTTTGAATCCTTTTAAGCAAGTCTCCTTTAGTAATGACTATCACAAAACATATTCTGGCAGAATATGCAAAATTCTGCAAAAGATAAGTCTGTTTATGTTACTCAGTAAAGATATAACATTTACTCAAGAACAGAAACTCTACCTGCATGCAAATTAAATTTAGAACACTCCTTTGCAGATAGTTAAAAACTTATCAAGCCAGGAGCAATCCATGAATGTGTCTGTAGGGATGGAAAGTGGGTAAGGTCTGTGATTTGTAGACAGTGCACATGTACCCAATGCAGGAAAATTCCCTCCATGGGATTGTCAATGGTTTGTTCACCATCCACAAGAATTGGCTGCCTTGGTTATGAAATTCTGGAAAAGCAGACAGAAAAAAATATGAATAAAAATGAAACTCCAGTTAAAAGAGCTAGAGCCAAGTGCTTACTGCATCACATCTTTCATTCACTTTCATTGAGTCATGGCTAGCAAGTGTCACCTATGGTTTCAGATCCCACATATTCCTGGCACTGCCCACATGCCAGCAAGGGGTTTAGATGAATACTCTTCCGTTTGCAGGCTGATCAGCACAGGGGCAAATCATGGATAGTGCTGGTTTACCTGACAGCTATGCTGCCATACAGATTGGTACAGATGGCTCACCAAAGTTCAGGAAAATGGTAGGGATATGGGTAGTGGGCATGGTGGTGATGGGTCAGTGGCTGGACTAGATGACCTTAGCTGTATTTTCCAACCTTAACTGTTCTATGATTCTGTGACTTCCAAGGGAGACTGGAGAACTCACTGGGAGGCAGATGTTGCAGTGAAGAGCTATTTCGGTGAAGATTTAAAAGCAGTGCATGTAACTATGGCATAGCCAAGGACTGCAGAAGGAACTGTAATTTATTCGTGTGCCCCTGAAGGGAAAGAAAGCAAGCAGTAGTTGTGAGGAGGAAGCACCACAGGACAGATGTACCAGCAAACCAGATCACTTCAAGGCAAGCTGGAAATGAAGAGATAATGTAGAGAGGTAAAGTGCAAACTAGCATGTAAAAATTCACTTCATCACCTCTCATCTTGTGATAAATGTGTCGTGGCTTCCTCCATACCCACAGTGGCTCAGGGCTTTTGTTTCATAGCTAAAGATAACTCTCCTGGTAGCATGATACAAAACAATGGTGGATTGTTTGACTCCAGACTGGATATAAGGAAACAGTTATTTACAATAAGGGTAGTGAAGCACTGGCATATGTTGCCCAGAGAGGTGGTAGATGCCCATTCCTGGAGACATGCAAGATCAGGCTGGATGGGGCTCTGAGCACCCTGATCTGCTGGAGGTGTTTATTGCAGAGGGTTTGCACTAGATGGCCCTTGAGGGTCCCTTCCAAATCAAATGATTTTATGATTCTATGAAAAAGATCCCCAAAACTTCAGAAGCAGCCAATATTTTCTATCCACGCTTTCTAGATCGCGTAGCTGGCCATGGGTGAAACTGTTCCAGCTGACACTTATGTGCTGCCACTGTGTCATGCATGGCACCTCGGCAGATGCGCTCCTCCCAGAGCCAATGTATGTAAATACTGATCTTATTGATTCTCATACCAAAGGACGCGACGTGATGCTGGAATAAAGCTACACCTGTGCCTCGCAGAAACCAGAGGGAACAAAACACCAGCAAGCTCTGGAGGCAATGCTTTCTCCACGGAACCTCGTCCAGCTGGTTGTCTCCTTAACAACACCGAGCTCAAAGGGAATGCGGGAGCCTCTCCCCACCCCACCTGAGGATGTTTGCACGCAAACCCCTGACGGCGGTGGCCGGGATGCCTCGCTCCAGCCTCCAGGCACCAGGACTGCCCTCTCGGCGCCGCATTCGCTAGGCAGGTGGCGGGACGGGAGACGCACAGGCAGCTCCTTGGGACCGCCCCGCAGCCCCTCAGGTGAAGCCAGGGGCGCTCTCGCCCGCGTCTCTCCCTTCCCTCCCCTCCCGGCGAGGGGCAGCCACCGCGCAGGCGCCGCTCCGACGGCCGGAGCGAGCTTCCGAGCGGCCGCGGCAGCCGCCGGCAGAGTGGTGCGGTGCGGTGCGGTGCGGTGCTACGCGACACTTCGTTCTGCCGTGTTGCGCTTCGAAGCCGCGACCGGCGGCGTGAGGAGTCGAGGCTGAGGCGGCGGCAGGTCGAGCGGTCCCGGCCGCGAGGCCACCGCCACAGGTGGTGCCCTCTGGTCGCCTGCCTCAGCGGCTCCCCCTGCCCGCGGTCCGCAGCAGAAGGGGCGGCGGCGCGTCCCGCCCCCCGTGCCGCTGGCGGGCGGTGCTGCGGAGGGCGGAGCGGGCGGCGGGGGCGGGCCAGCCGGCTCCCGGCGCGGGCTGGCTCCCGGCGGGCGGCGCTGCTGCGTTGCTCCGGGAGGCGCCCGGGGCCGGGCGCGGAGCTGCGGGCTCGGGGGTGTGAGCGGCCGGGCCGGGCGCCCCAGGATGCTGCGGTTCCTGCGCAGGACCTTTGGCCGGCGGTCGATGCAGCGCTACGGGCGAGGAGCGGGGCGCGGGGCCGGGCGAGGCGGGCTCGGCGGTGAGGGCGACGAGCGGGACGGTGGGCTGCGAGGAGCCGCCGCCGCTGTCTCCGGGGGTTTCCCCTCCTCGCCGCACCCCGGCGGGGTCGTGCACGGCGCCGGAGCCCCCGTCCACATCCCCGCCGCCGGCGGCAGTAAGCCGGTGCTGCAGTGCCGCGTGCTCCTCCTGGACGGGACCGAAGTCAGCGTGGAGCTGCCGGTGAGTAACGCGGTTCGCGCCGACCCCTCCGCCTGCTGGCGTCGCTTCCTTGCTCCCCTCTCGCCGCCCGCATACACCTGCTGCCAGGTGCACCGCGCCTCCCGCCATGGCCGCGGCCCCTTCCTTCTTCCCCGGAGCGAGCGCGGAGAGCGGCACCTGCGCCTCCGCCCCCCGCCGCAGCCCCAGCCGGAGCCGCTCGGGGGAAGCTCGCTGCCAGGAGAGCCGCGCTGCCTCCCTCACGTCCCCGGCTGCGGTCGCGAATCGGCGGTCTCGCCGCTCCCAACCTGTGGAGCCGGCGCGAGGGTGCCGTTGGGCCGTCGGTGTGGGGCCGCCTCCGAACTTTCCGCTCTCCCGTCTCTGCCGCGTTCCGGAGCGCGGTGGGTCGCGGCCATGTGCCGCTTCTGCGGGCGTTTCGGCGTCGCCGGAACCCGGTGGGTGCCTTCCCGGCTCACCGCGGCGGAGCTGAGCGGCGAACGCCGTTCGGTTGCTGAGTTTGGGTTCTGCCAGGTTCTCGCAGCCGCTGAGTGCCTGGCGTCCGTCCCTTTTTGCTGCCCCTTCCCCTCCCCCGTGGAACCGAGCTTTCCTGCGAGGCAGTGCTGCGTTTATCGTATTGGGAAAACATTTAAACTTGTTTAGAAACTGAAGAATCGGCGGCCGTTAAGCCTGACCTACAAAAGCAGGTGGGAGAACTTGGTCGCAGCGTAACAATCCAATCGAGCTCACGCTTCTTTTAGAATCATAGAATGTCCCGAGTTGGAAGGGACCCATAAAGGTCGAGTCCAACTCTTTTTACTCTCAACTGGTGTGAAAGACATTTGTTTTTTGTTTCAGAATATTTGAATTTTGTTGGGTGCCATTCATGCTAATAATTACCCGTGTATGTTGGCCAGATTTAACTAAAATATGGAAACTGGGATTCAACTGGTTTCTGATTAGAAGCCAAAGTGATGGAGTCCTGCTCCAATAGGGGAGTGTGGAATGGGGCCACCTAGAGATGCTGCCTCACGCTCAGCCGGCTCCTTCCCTCACAGAGCAGATCACACACCTCTAGGCACTGGCAATGCTAACACCTTTCTTCTCTTCACATCTCTCCTTCACAACTTACTGCAGTCCTACTAGCATCTCAGCATGACGCTAGTCTAAAAAGAACTTGTGTATTATCTGCATGCTGAGGATATGCTTATAGCCGTCTATGTAGATAAGCTCAGTAAATATTTCATGTATTATATTCCCTCCAACTTATCAGAGTAGAGCTATTGCTATAGAATCTAAGATAGTCTGTAGGTTTGAAAAAGCAGTTAATAGTAAACCTTCAGTAGTCCTTGAGTATCGGGAGCATGTGGAAGCGTACCAGCTTGGTCCATTAAGGAAGCTGTAGAGCATACCTGCTTGTGTTGTGGTGTCTAAGCCTGGGCTGTCAGTGGTGACACGAGATGCACACTTGGCGGTTGTAGTTCCTTTATCCAGTGAGAGGATAAGAAGTCAGAGTGTTCTTTGGTGACATTTCTAGGCTGCTGGAGGATGCTGGGGTGTGAAACAGCTATCAGTGCCTTGGGGATTAGAAAGGGTGCTGTTGAATTGCATCTCTGCTCCTCATGCTGCTTTCCTTTCTTTCACAGAAAGTAACACCCACACGGAGAGTCAGAAAAACTGAAAGAGGCGTTGCACCATTTATAGAATTTGATTAGGAATGTTTCTCTGAGCTTTGGAACGCCGGTTTTTATGGGATTAGGGCCTGAGACAGAATGCACTTTGATACTCAGAAGCATTTGTACTGTACTTGTTAAGCTGAATGAGCTGGGCACTATCTTGATAAAATTAGAAATGAAGAAATCAGTGTATGGTTGTTTCTCAACATTTCAGCTTGCTTATTTTTTTGGCGAGGGAACAAGTGTGGTCCCTGCTCTAGCAGTGAGACAGCTTACACTAGAAGCCTAGTATGTCAGTAATTGCTAAGGACTTTGTGCTGCTGATCACGCTCACAAGCACTTATTTCAGGCGATACTGGCATCTGGAAAATGTGCTCTTTCTACTGCCTGTGAACATTAAAACCCAGCTGTCTTTCCAGGGGTAAAAGGAACACGTTGGCATTAGGGCACAATAATTTCATAACTAACGCTTCTTAGACTGCTACCTGAAACTTAATTGGAATTGATTTCAAGGCTTGTTAGATATTAATTAAAAAGACTGCAGGGTCTATGTGTTTGTGTGGAGGAATGACGGGCTGCTTGAAACCTTAAGCTGCATGTGCAGAAAAAAAAAGTTCAGTTGTTTTGGTTGGTTTGTTTAATATACATTAAAGCTAAAACCCTGACTCTTTTGTCTAGGTGAAGTGCATCAGGCTCTTCCTCGGTGTCTTCTCTTATGTGGGGGCTGGTGGTGTTGCTGTAAAAACAAATTACACATCAGTAGGCTGCTACCATCTTTGAGGCTATCAGCATTTATGCCATACTTTAGAAATGGTAGAGTTGGTAAGTTTTTGTCATGCTCCCACCTGAGTCCTTCCTTAGCTTGTTATTCTGGAGGCTGCATGAAAGTATTGTGACCAGAGTCACCTTTCTTGTTTATCTGCATTTCCCCTCCCACTTTCTTGTGGGTTATTTGGACTTTATTTTTTCTTACTGCATATGCACAGGGCCTCTTCTGCCCTCAAAATTCCCCATTTGCCTTTCATTTGTAGGTGCTTTCTGGCTTTCCTGAACTTTTCTCCCTATGCATTGTCAACATAAAATCATTCTGAGCTGGAGACAACCTTGAATAATGATTTCTGTACTCAGCTTCTTGCACAGAATTTCAGGGATTTCTTAACAATGGTGGCTTTTTGGTTGCTCTTAAGGCAAGACTTAAAGTACTCTGAAAGTATTCTTTCTGAACAGAATAATACACTGGATGGATTTTTAAGCTGAGAAGCTCCTGAGGGCCCTGTGCTAAATCTGAGGCACAATTGAGATTGCCTCTGGGAGTGGCTGTATGGGAGTGGCAGTTTGCCCATTGCTTTGGAGTGATTTACCATGGCAGGGGGACTATAAAGAAAATGTCATCACTTTCAGCTGACCCAATGCCACACCTGTGCACATCTGAAATCTGGTTATAAGGATTGATTAATTAAAAAAAAAAAAAAGAAAAGGGATATACTTAGAAGTAAACGTACAGTGAAAAATGCAGTAGGAAGCTGTTATGTGTTTGGTTCTTGCATCTCAGCTGTGGGTAGATGGAAGGCCACTTGCTCACTGCTGTCAACACAATCCTTCCTCTGTTTTCTGGAGAAATCTGGAGTTTAATGAAAGAAACTGGTTATAGGTGATGCTGTGTTCTTACATAAAGAATATGGGCAAGGAGAACTGACATTTACACAGCAGTGATGATGCCTGCTAGTTAATACGTAAATGGGAAGGTTTGTAGATGGCTTTAAGGTGAGGCCAAAAAAATCCCAAATTTTTGTTGATGTGGATGTTGGCATTTCTAAAACTTGAGTATCTGATTTTTAATTCAGTGCATCTTATAAAAGCTTAAAGAAAGACTCAGAAAGATGACTTCTCCGTGAGATGGTGCGGAGTAGCAGGGATTGACTTTTTTTTTTTTTTTAGTGCCACTGAAAATGGTGTTTTGTGATAAGGCTTGGAGACAATGGGAGCTGTACAAAATGAACGTTTGTTTGTTTGTTTATTTGTTTAACCTAAGTGAGATGAGAGAGGGGAAACAAATAGTAAGCTTACTCTGCTGTGGAAATCCCCATCTTGCAAAGCAGACATAGGAAACCATATGTTTTCAGTGCCATGGAGCCACAGCAGTTGAAGCACTGTCTGTCATAATACTCATTGCTGTGGTAAATTTTTCTGCTGCCATGGACATCGTTACGAAGACTTATGTGATGTATTAGGTTGTAGGTGACACTTAACTTGTTCATTAACTTCATCATTATATATTACTCTTGGTATCTATGGATTGCTTTCCGGTGGAGAGCTTTCATATTGTTTCTTTGCCTTCTTTTTGGTCTATCTGTTTTGATAATTGTTTCGGCTGCTATGGAAACACTTCAGGATAGGGATAGTAAATGTTCTTCCATAGCCTTTTTTAATCTGCCTAATCTTCTGTCTTTTGTATCCTCCTCTTGTGAGACTAGCGTGAGCATAACAAAACCTATTCGCTGGCTTCTGTGCTTAAATAGAATGTAAATGTTAAATTAACTCTTGAGTAGTTATCTCAATCCTAAAGTTGGAAGTATGTTTGACTAGAAAAAAGTGATAAATATTTGTAGAGGGGTACCACTCAGCCTTTCGGTTATGTAATGTGATTTCCTAATGACATTTCAGGAATAAGAACTGCAGACACTGAATTTTAGGTATTCTCAGGTGTCTCCTAACTGAAGCCTTGCTCTCCACTCAAATATATATTTTCCACATCAGGTGTGGAACAGGCATTTTAGAATTAATTCTTTAAAGCTTTTCTCACATGAGTAATTGATAGTATAGTTCTTTATTTAGAAGGTACTTTCAACAATCTAAAATCAGAGTGCTTCAAATGCTGAAAGCGTGTTTTCAGGCCTGCAAGGGCTGCCTTGTGTGCATGAACTACTGTGGCAACTGCCTCCTGTAATCCCCTTCATGAAGTGATCAAGTTCTCCTTGTAGAAGTGCTTGGGTATTTTTTGTCACTTTTGTTGAAATGCTTTTTCATTACCGTAAAGCTCTGATGAAGTAACTGTAGCCAGAACTTGATGTGTTATCTTCTGGCAGTAGCCTTTAATTTCCTTGCCTGTGTATCACAACGCTTCAATGCATTGCTGTGTCTGCTGAAAGTGTGTGGAAAAATATTCATAGTAGGCATTTATACTGACAGCCAGGGACGTCTCCTGCCCCAGAGGAACAGGAATGAGAGGAGGGTGTGCATGTGGGACTGCAGCTGTGCCTCAGAATTGCATGATGAGTAGGTTCTTGATAGAGAAGTGGGAATTTCAGGCTCTTGGCATGTTCACCAAACAACCTTAATAAATCTACAGCA